TAACACTCGCTCTGATTGATCTGATTGTTAATGGTGAATGTTATTTACGAAAGTGGAATGAAGCGGGTTTCTGAAAAACAATCTTTTAAGAAGTGAATAACGATTGAAGTGAATGTATACACATATCTGTAGCAAGGTAAAGTCATGTAGAAGGGAACGGTAGGTTTTTTTTCGCGCCAATAGCGGCGTACGTATTTTGCATGCGATCTCACGAAATTTCAATGAACCCCGTTCTGTCCCAATATAACCCTCACCAAAATATAATAAAGGTTGTATGGGACAGAATTATTCGGTCTAATGCTGGTGAGTGGTGTAACAAACTAGTACTAGTAGTAGTACTAGTAGTAGGAAAAGCCTAATAATTCCACGTAAATCTTCAAGTCCTGTTTTACAACGACTAATCTCTGCACGAATGTTAGGATATCATCGGCTGCTACTTCCTATATAGCGTCAGATTATACAAATTTCTTGGGCATTGCCAAACGGCAAACGTCGACACGAACCACGAACGACACTGTCACTGACTCACTGTGCACAAATTCACAAAAGATGGCAGTTCTACGTTTCTGTTTTTGCCACCTACTTCTAATAAAATACTACAGCAATTAGGATTAGTATGTAACATACATATTACATAACCTCTAAACTATTACCTAAAACAAAATTTTGTTGGCAATCAAGCAGAAAGAGAAAATTTCGGAATACAACTTACTTGCCGAATTTTACAGAATCAAAATACGCGGATGAAGATAAACGATAGCGTAGCCACTAACATTGCAGTATTCAGACCACGTGATAAATCTCGCTAGCAAGCGTGGCGCCATCCCGTGGTAAAAATCTATACTGCATACATGGTTGTGCGGTCGTGCACTACTACGGAAATAGGAAGCTATGAGAGCCCAGAGAGCATCTGAGGACAGATAAAGAATAAGGAGGGAATTTTGTATAATTAACGGGGAAGGACGAGGAAAAGGAGTAGAAGAATATGGAGGGCGATGCGTAGTAGGGAAGGCGGGGCGAGGCGGGAGAGGAGAAGAAGTTGGATGATGAAGAGGAAAAGGAGGAGTAACGGAAGGGAGTAAAGTAAGGGAAGTGGGATGAGGAGCAGTAGTATGAGGCGGAACCGGATTAAACGACAAAGAGAGCACAATACTTGCAGAATAAAGCACATACATACGGCGTAAAAGGAGGCAAGGAGGAGGATTGAGGCCATGAATGGAATTTTATAGTAAATTTACTATTATTTATCCATTCATATCTATAGATGGTCGTAAAAGTGAGGTAAGAGGTAGCTCTGCGCATTACTACTATCTGTTAAAGATAATAACATTCTGTTGATATTATGCTTTTTAAAGGGAGAGGACATGTTAACGAATATTTTTCTATAAAAATGTAAAACGCATTCCCTTCCTAAATGTCATAATCATGAGCATAATCTTCTTAATATTTCGATTCCGTGCACTTTTTATTGCCGTTGAATGGCGCTAGTGGCACGCATGAGCTCGTGTATGAAATAAAACGATATATATTTACATATATAATTTTGATTGAAATTATATATATGTAGTAGGCATATACTCAGAAGTAGTTAGATGTGTAAAATGTTGATCCCATTGACTCACTTTAACAATTATAAGGCTGGAAATCTTCCAATCCTGATAGATGATTGATATACAGATAACTGATCGGGTCAGGCGAGCTTGTGCACGAGCCCAGAAACAGTTTTATATAATAAAAGCGAAATGCATTGTCCTCTTATACAATGAGATGGAGACCAATTATCCAGAGGCACTAGAACAGAGTAATTAGTGTTCTATTGTCTCTGAATCATCTCAACCGAATCCAGGAGTTAGATATACCTAGATATACCTAGGTGTAGCTCCTTGAACCGAATGACATTTTGTACATTTTCGCTGCCGTTGGTCGGCGCTAGTGTCGCGTATGAGAGGTAGTGTATGATCCTGGACCACTGAGCTGTATATAACATTATTATATCATAACAGATATTATACACAGCCCAGTGTCTTGAACGAAAGCTAATCACATATGATTTTTGCTGAAAATACATACCTGTAGTAAGCAATTATACTTGAGAATTAATAGTTATAAAACATCCGGATCCTAATGACTTCAGTAATTATAAGCCGAAAACTATTCAAAACCTCATTAACACGTACGATAGATGATTATGGGAGCACAGGTGATTTGGAGTTATGTATTTAAAAAAGAGAGGACATACTTATATTCCTATTGAATAATATATTCCTAATATATATATATATATATATATATATATATATATATATTCCTATTCCTATTCCTAATATAATCCTATTTAAAAATATGAGACACTGTCCTTCTTTACTAACAAGTGCCGCCAGAGTCGACAGCGCTCACTGACGTGTAACTTAGCCGGGTGAATTCTTCTTGATAACTGCGAATTGGCAACCGAATCGAAGTGCGCGCTCCCGCCACCGCGGTTCGCGCTGCGCCAAGCATATATCTAGGAGTACTACTAGTAGATCTTAAAATCTATGATAGCTTTGCCAAGGAATGTATCCGGTAGTACCGTAGAGTAAAAGACTACAGCTGTGTAAACTTTAATGAACGCTTCTCTAGTATTACATGTTATAATGGATATGCCGCGAGCCACGAGCGTACTATTGCGTGGCGATGGCTGCGGCGGAGGCGGGGCGGGGGAGACCTAATAGCAAAAAGTGAGTTCGAGTCATTTGTTAACATGTCAACAAATCCCATTATTACCATCTTCTTTGAGGGAGAAAAGTTATCAGACACTTACTCTTCGCCCACGTGTCAGCGGAAAGTACATTTTCATGGTCCTCTTCAATAAAGTGATAAGCAAATCGTTAGGTCAGCGCGCTGGAAACAAAAAGTTCTATCACTCACCGTGCCGTTTAGACCATTGTCTCAGAAAATGCTACTGATATCTGAGACCTTTCCCCACTGCCCTTTGCACCTGTGACCATCCAATTTCCGCATCTGGGATGGATTTTCTGCCCATCACACCTATACATCGAATATTACGAGCGTAGAGCGAGCCGTTGAGATTTGTGCCGCAATTTCGTATTTCCTCCTATACCTTAAGTTAAGAGGGAAATATTCCCCCTCCATTGACACATTTTGACCTTTGACCCCCCAAATTCGACATCCCGAGTCCTTTTGTGCCGTAACTGTTGACACACGGTCCACGGACGGACAGACGGCCGGACGGACAGCCGGCCGGACGGACGGACGGACATTCATGCGATTCTACAGGCTTGATACGAAGACGATAATACGAAAATCCTGTTACCAAGATTGTCATTAATCTATAAGTAGTTTATATATTCTGTAGCAAATTCTGCGTGCGAACGCGGATCCGGGCCACTGTTGTTTCTAGGTATGAATGTAAGACTTATCTCTGTATATGGAGTAATATATTTGCATTTTAAGTGCAGCATTTTATATTTGCAAAGAAAGTCGCGGAAAAAGAAGAATAATAAGAAGAATTCGTGTAATAACAATGTACAATTATGCACATTTTCTTTGCCGTTGGTCGGCGCTAGTGCCACGCATGAAAAGCAGAAATAGATGCTAAGCGAAATGTGTTCATATTTTCGCAGCTACATCATCTTGCCTGGAAGGGCAAAGCTATTGGCGGATTGCGCTCTAGACAGTTGACCGTCTGGAGTTCGCCGTTTCCTTTGCTAATGACTGGGTAGATGCCTGAATATGACCGGGTGAATGTTCGATATATATATAAGGAACTGTAATTTTCACTAGTGAACATACATTCTATACGTATAGGCGTTTAGCTACAAACACCGACAGATTGCGCCCAGCGCTATGAAATCGGTATAAACTGTTCCTAACCTCCTCCATCCAGAAAGTTGCAATACTATATGGTTAGAATGTATATAAAGTCTGCCTACGTTATAAGTGGCTCCCATCCGTTTGCCTCCCGTATTTATCGGCTACTAGCTCACTTACATCAATATGTGCATAAAAATGTCTTGAAGACGAGGATTTTTTCCTAAAATTACAATTTATTTCCAATTCATTTTAGAACAATAAAGCTAAGCTTGTTTACTAGGTATGTAAATCCAAGACCAATACAAAGATGATCACTGACTGACAAAATCACAGACAGAATCCTTGTATTGCCCCTGGTAGTAAAACACATCGTAATAGTAATTCAATAATTTATAACTCAACAAATATGAGGTTACGAGGCCTCGTGGTGTTTTTTCTGACTCACCGCTGTTAGTACATTAGTGGTGGTTACAAATGGTGGGAATTACTATATCACGGGTATACACTAAATAATATATAAACACCTAGGCACATGTGTGTAACAACAGTAACTACTATATCCCCTTTGGCAATGCAAGTAACGCAATAAACAATCAACAAAGCAGAAATGCGAAACTACAACTGAACCCCGAATGCCTTTTCCACGTCGATGAGCGAAATTCGAACGCGACGCGCAACTGTAAGTTCGACATCGTACGTAACACTGTGTAGAGGAATACTATGTCCTCGCTAGTTCACGTGGTCTCCGCCAGATACCGAAATGTTATTATGCGGAGGGAACGAACGGAGAGCCGTAAATACACAAGCGCAGTTACACCAACACACACACACAGCCACCAGTGACGGAGTGAGTGATTACCTCCGACTAAAACCCTATCGTGAACATGTCACATTAGTGTGTTCAAGCTTATATCGTGAGCGTGTTACATGAACAACATGAAACTGACGGTCGTGGACGTGGTTTCTGCGAGAGTGCGTAGACATGTCGAACAAAAATTGCAAACGCGCTAAAAAATACAACTGTTAAAATATTGCCGACACGTGTCAGGTAGACAATTAAAGCATGGTGGTCTATATATGCCCCCTCTCTTATCTCCTTAGTAAGGTCGAACATACACCGATCGTACACGGCTCTGCCTTGTTGTTCGCCCCATAGTGAACCTCCTTATAGTAGTCCCATAGTAGTCCTCCTTTGCACTTTGAAATAGGCAGGTAGCATAACCTGCACGTGGTAGGGTGGTATATGTGCATATATATATATATATATATATATATATATATATATATATATCAGGAGTAGATAATAGGGAACTAGTTGTTGTACCCTGGATGGCGGGCTTACGACGTATTCGTATTACGTCGTATGCGCGCGGATTGGAGTTACAAGCGACCCCGCCTACTTCGAAGCAGAAAGAGGGGAACTGTAACATTGATAATTATCAGCTACACATTAATGACCACGCACGTGAAATTTACAGTGGTAACTGTTACTCGCCACATCGACGCCGTGACCTATCCCTCCCTCGACACACACACACGCACGCACGCACGCACACACGCACACACACACACACACACACAACTGCCAACAACGCTTAGAAAACATTCACGAAACTCGCGAATTACTAATCCGCAAATGGCGCGCGAACGGTCCTACGACCTATGACCTATGAACGTCTACCCAGGTGGCGCTGCAATAGTATAGCTACAACTGACTGCAAGCTGAAGCGACTGTTACTTGGCAATGCCACGTAAATTTCGTGCCAGGAGATGATAGGCACTTGTTAACGATGTCTGTCCTCATTATCGTTTCCTTACGGTCCCCATGATCAACACGGTGCGCGGTGACAGAATCATCACACGTCGTGTGTGCAACGGATGCCATTAGGATATAGTTCGAATCATTAGGGTATAAATACACGCAAGAGTACACATTTACGCACTCCCCAGAGAAATTTTATTATGTTATAAATATATCAGCATATTAGACTGTGTATTATTCTATTCTCCAGGGAGACAGCCCGCGGACAGCTACAGCTCTCGGACAGCTTTGCTCAGTATGGGGATGGCGTCGTGCGGGTCTGCATGCGCATAGATAATTGTGCGTGGAGTTCAGTTACCGTGGATATAGAGCTCAGTTACAGGTGACGACGATGACTCACCACTGACTCTATCACGTGTGCGCCGAGATGAAAAACTAGAGCCCTCGCTCTGCCACAGCCCTGTAGCAGAGCGAAGTACTATATTTCTAGAGCTAGTGTGCGCCGAGATACGTAGGGTGGGGGGTGGGGAGGGGGTGAGCACACATAACGCAACAGCCTGACACACTTCTCCGGTACGGACCTGCGTTTTGCCATATGACATTACGTTCACTCGACCCGCTCTAAACAGACTATTAGTCTGAAAGTACTAGTCGTAGATTGACTCGACTAGCTATGCTCAATCTATCGGCCTGAAAGTAACAAAAGTGTGTGCACTCGATTTACCCATTACCATCTACGAACTGGCTGCAATTGACACGCGCGCTCCCTCTCGTGTTATATATCAGGAGTAAAATATAATATATACCGATGTCTGTCCATCACATTAATCGCATTATCTTCCTCTCCAATGCTTAGAAACTCGAGAATTAGAAAATCGGCCCGTGTTGGATGATAAGCGAAGCATAACTGATAATATACACACATACACATCACATGCATGTATGCCTATATCGTGCAAGACCTATAATTAACGGGAAATTATAAGTGAGACGCACACCAACGCGTGCCGTCTCCCTCTCTCTATCTCACAGACATACACCGAATGTTACACACAAGATTATTGCACTGTAATAATTGCATCTCCGGAAGGAACTTCCTTGCAGAAACGCTTTTTTTCTTCTTCAGATTTTCTTTTGTTGTTAAAATAACAATGTCTCGCGCGTGCTGCCACCTTATACATCGAGTTATACAGGGTCGATATGTCACATATTATATCCTACAGAAAAATAGTGCGTACGGTCGCCGTGGAACGAGCCCGCTATGTAACAAAATATTCTATAGCAGGCAGTAGGGGGGTGGGGTGAGGTGGGGGGATCAGCGACTCGATACACATATATATATATATATAAGATCGTTTTATCTTTGCTATGCGATACACGTTACGCAATATGCGGCTTCCTGTACGACTTGCGTTGCATGCGACAGTCAGCATCACCTCGGGCTGCAGTCGTGTATCTCTGCGTGTGCGTGTGGGGGAGGGACAGCAATCAACTGCGCACACAATAATTTCGTATCGAATAACGCGCGACGATTAGCAACTTACACCGAAACACCTTTCGGCGTTCCTAATTGCATTCTGCCGGATGCAAATTCCCCGCCGACGCGTAGACTGACCTCTAACGTCGTCTTGCCCGTGCCGACGAGTGGTGCCGAACGACGCACAGCGTCAGTCTATTCCGCGACTCCCACGACGTCCGCGCTATAAATGTAAACCGCGAACAAAACCGCTACCAGACTGCGCATGCATTCAACCGCAGGTAGAAACTCTTTGATCGTTGATCAAGCGCTTTGTCTACGTGCAAACATACTAGTGCCACCGTGTGACGAAATACTGCCTATTCGAAAAACCAGGACTGGAGTCGAACAGAGGGAAGACATTCTCGTTCGATGTATCGGCATACAACTCTGTGACTTTCGTACGACGCTCTGCCTAATGAATTATTCTCGTCTCGTCTATTACAGGAATGTGTGAGTTTGGTCCACATACTTAGCAGCGGAGACTTCCGCAAGACGGAATCTGCATGCGCGTTTATAATGTATCGTTTATAATTTTCACAGTCCCGTGCAATCGCCTAGTATAACCGCCATGCTCCGCCACCGTCGCCCATTCACACGCAAGCCGTAGCTGGGGAAGAGGAGAAAGTACAAACACGATTGGCACGCTTACCCATGCACACGTTTTTGAATACAGTTGATTATATATGCAAGTATTCGCGTGCGTGTGTGCGTGCGTGCGTGCGTGCGTGCGTTCACTTCACCCAGGCGTCTTTCGAAATAACTACATCGCCCACACACAGTAAAACTATTAAACTTGACACCAAGACGCACGTACGCACGCACGCACGCACGCAAGCACACCAGACTCTCGATCATACCTTTTGAATTTTAACCATTGGCCATCACCGCGAACGAATGGAATTGACCAGACCTCCGTGACTATTCTATACCTCTCGCACAGCCGACTATCATCGTAGCAGCGTTCGGAAATGCTTATCGAAAATAATAAAATCGAAGAATTTCAGCACGCGTGAGGGACCCTACACATGTTATTGCAAACTCATGCTTCCTACGAAAATCAATCGGTTCGGATAAGTTACACTCCGTTAGAACACAAGCGCACCTTCTGGAAAAAACGCCCGAATTCACCACTGATATATATATATATATATATAAACATAGTTATATTCTATTATATTACATCAGCACTATATATATAGACCAGTGAAAATTATCTGCCTTTAGGTGGAGACCATGTCGAAAACAAGTGAACTAACTATTAACCGCGTGACGACATCTCTCTAAAGACGGGTCGCCATCTGGCAGACCGATCCAACAATTTCATGAGCAGTGGGCGCGAGTTGGACCTATATACGCGGGCACTATATAATGATATATATATATATATCAGTCAAGTAGATAATCAGGGCAAGGAGTGTGGACTTGCAATACAACGAGGCGAATTCGTCCATACTATGCACTTATGAATACCTCACGATTTTCACTACGTGCGTTAACTCAACCCGACACTTGAGCATCAAAATCGTTTACACAGTAACATTCGCCTAGCTTCAGTGGCGATAATCGTTTACCTCGCTCGTATACCCCAGAATCCGCGAGACTTGACAGAGCTAATAACCGTTACCACACGATGCGCTAGATCCATTCTGTTGCTCAGGCAGACGAATAGTATTAACCGCCTAACGTTGAAACAGAAAGGCAAGCTCCCTAACGACTCCTTGCACCCTTCTGGCTGATGTCGCCTGCCGCGGTATAGCGCCTTTGTTTCAAGTTATGATCCGCCGGTTATACATCGGTTTGAAATCTCTTCATGGCAACAGAATGAGCGAGTTAATCGTGTTCGCTACGTTTTTATGTCGCCGTGTATTCCACGGAGTGGCGGTGTGTATACGAAGCGGAAACGAAGTTTTCGCACGATATGCTAAGGCGAACTGTATGTGTACGACTTTGAGCTCAGTTGGTTGAAGTTAAGCCGGCCGTATTTAGTAAATCGTAGCGTATTCTAAGGAGTTAGTAATGACGAATTTCCCATGTGTTTTATGTAAGTCACACTCCTTCCCTTTTATCTACATCTGATATATATATATATATATATATATATTCCTTCTTTCTTACCCCTCCGTCAATATCTATGATATACACCATTTTGCTGTATTCCACTTATTTTACACAGCTCACACACAAACCTCGTCTCTATATACTGCCTGCTGCGGTTCGAGTTCACAGAACGGCCATTTATGCGTCCAACTGTATCGGTGTGTGATCGCCGCACAAGCAACAGCTAGCGTCGTACATGCACTCTGTGGACCACGCCGTATATGTGACCCAGTCGAACTGAGTACTACGTGCTCCACGTACATTCGTAATACTAGCTCGTTGTCTACGGGTTGCGCGTGGCGCGGGGCGTATAAGAATACGCTGGATTTCACTTTGAACACCCGGGTGAAGTTACGTATACCCATAACGTCACACGCGCCACGCTCTACGCGCACCTGGGTGGGGAAATGGCGGGTAAGATTGGTTGGAGGGGGCTGGCCTTGTAGAAGACATGCACCTCGAGCAGTTTAAATGAACAAGTCATCTACGGATTGTACACATTACTCAGTCTTTTCGCACCAGCTTCGTTACACGCCGGCACACAGCGGCAGAATGTGTCGCGCATGTAACCGCCCTACGAGTGCGGGTGGTGCGCGCGTCGTGCGTGCGCGTAAGAAAGTGGACTCAGAGCGTGCGTCAGAAATAGACATGCTAGGCAGAGGATAACACATAACAAGTGATACCGGCAATCGTTGAGTCAGCAGATGACATTGCAGCATCTGCATGTTTACACATCCAGATACGATAACCTTGGATTCTATTCCAACACTCGTTATACACACTCTACTCGCAAAGCATACCAGTAATTACTAAATGAGAATGACAAGCAGTGCCGGATACGGTTAAATGGAATACTCGGAGCCGCGCGAGGGTTGGCGAGAGGAAGAGTTGGGAACGCGATAGTGGAGGTTGACGGGTTCATGTGAGTGACCCACCGACCGAGCCAGTTGTCCTCAAGAAAGGGGGAGGAGCGCGAGAGAGGAAGGGCCAAGGTGCCGATGCATGATGGGGGAAAGGAAGCAGTGTGGAGATTGCTTGCCGATGGATCGGTCCGGATGTCGACGCTAGTCCTTGCCGGCTCAGTATCTCCGCGAGGACCCGTAGCGTGCGCCTCGTCTCGTCCGTGTACCGACCAGCTTCGCCTGCGAAAGAGAAAGATACAGAGATACAGAATCAAGGGAGACTAACGAGAAATTGCAGCAGAGTTTACAGGGACTCGGAGAGGGCTACATAGTTACACGACATAAAGAGATAGAGAGTTATATTAATCACAGACGATAGAGAGGGGCTACAGAGATACAGAGACATAGAGGGGGTACGAGAGTTAACAGACATAGGAGGGGTACAGATGTTACAGACAATAGGGAGGGGTGTACAGAGTTTACAGACAGTAAGAGGGTGGTACAGACGTTACAGACATGGAGAGGTACAGAGTTACACGACACCTGGGAGAGGCTATAGAGTTACAGACATGGCAAAGAGTACATTCAATGAGACGATAGATAGATAGAGAGTATAGTAATCACAGACATAGAGGATACAGAGTTCACACATCAAATCTAGAGAGATTACATAGATAGAACAATCACAGGACATAGAGAGATACAAAATGCACAGGACATAAGAGAGATACAAAATTAGAGACATAGAGAGGTACAGAGTTACAGACATAGTGAGAGGTACAGATTACAGAATAGGGAGTACAGAGTTACGACATAGGGCAGGTTACAGAGTTACACAATCGACAGACATAGAGAGATAAAAATCAGCAGACATTAGGAAGAAATATCCACAATTACAGACATAGAGAGGTACAGGAGTTAAGAAGTATAGAGGCTACAGAGTTACCGATATTAGAGAGGTACAGAGTTAGACAGTACATAGAAGACATTCGCCGCGGAGCAGTACAGAGTTACAGACATGAGAAGCGGCTACAGAGTTTACAGCCGCGCCCCCCCCTGCCCCCCCGCCCTGACATAGGGAGCCGTACAGAGTTACACAATCAAGACATAGAGAGCATACAAAATCACAGAATAGAGAGATACAAATTACAGACCATAGAGAGGTACCAGAGTTACAGACATAAGAGAGGTACAGAGTTACAGACATTAGGAGGTACAGAGTTACAGACATAGAGGAGGGTACAGAGTTCAGACATAGGGGAGGACAGAGTTACACAATCACCAGACACTTAGGAGATACAAAATTCACAGGACATTAGCAGAGGGCGATACAAATTACCAGACATTTAAGAGTAGCGTACAGAAGTTACAGACATAGAGAGCGTACTAGTTACAGACATTATGAGAGGGACAGAGTGTACAGACATAGAGAGGTACAGAGTTACAGACATAGGAGAGGGTAAAAAGAGCAGTTACAGACATAGAGGTACAGAGTTTAAGGACATAGGAGCGGTTACAGAGTTACACAATCACAGAGCCAGCAGAGAGATGCAGACTTTTGCAGAGGTTGCCAGCGAGACACGTAGAGCACGAAAGTAAAAGCGGACGAATAGCAGATACAAGACGCAGATCACTTACCTGCGGGTAGTTCTGCCGTACTGTTAAAACTCTTACCGTGCGGAGTAGTCCTGCCCACCTGTAACTTACCTGCGGGTAGTTGCCTAACTGTAACTCTACTGGTGTAGTCTGCCTACTGGTAACTCTACCCTGGGCGTAGTATCTGCCCACTGTAAACTCTACCTGGGGGTAGTCTGCCTACTGTTAACTCTACCTGCACGGTAGTCTGATCCTTTACTGTAACTCTACCTGCGCGGTAGTCTGCTACTGTAAATACAACCTGCGGTAGTTGCCCTACTGTTAACTCTAACCTGCGCGGGTAGTCTGCCTACTGTAACTACTTTACTTGCGGGTACAGTTAAAAGACCGCGTATAAGAACATAGAATTTTCCAAGTTAGCCTCAAATGCTTCTATATATAAATGGTGGCTTACTGAAAAATTTTAGGCTCAAAGGTTCTTAAATATGGTTCTTAATGATTTCTACTTTTAATAGTGACAGCTGAAACCCGCGCTACGTTGCAGGGCTTAGTTCACTGTTCGATGCATGTGTTAACCAGTACGCAGTAGTGTTTAGTGTTAAGGTGTTATATGGCAGAGTTTAGTTGATTGCCACATCGTTTTTGTTTATGGTGAGATAAATATATGATATAGTTATAATATAATATTATATAATATTATATTATGTAATAGATATTGATTTTGTTATTTTGTTGAGCATTGGCATGGCGATTGGCATTGGCATTCGTTATTGCATCGATATTGGTTTGAGTCAGTCTTTTTATTTGACCTGTGTTTCTTTTTAAGCTCTTCATCTGCAATATGGAAAATTAAGGAACATCACTTTAAATTCTAGCACGTTTAAAACAGGGTTCTTATGTTAAAGGGGTCTCGTAAATGGGAAATTTTAGGATCCTAAACATGTTCTTAAAAATCTATGTTTCTTATACGCGGGTTTATCTTACTGTAGTCTGCCTACTGTAAATCTACCTGCAGAAGAAACGTTCGTCTCTATACGGGCTTATACGCGATCGTGACATCTTGCGCGAGTAAAGCAAGTAACGGAGAAATCGTGACGTGAATCGAGTGAAGCAGATGTGCAAGCAGTAGCGGAGGCATCGCAAACACGCTAGGTTAAACTCGTTAAACCTTCTCTCGTTTATCGCAAGCTAACCGAATCCACAGAACAGCGCACTGCAAGGATTTCGCCAGTTTTTTTCGTTTTTTTTCCCGACTGCTAGTTAGTGATACAACTTCTTCGCGATTATATCTAGCAAATGAGCAATCTACCTGAGGGGCTTTTTCACCTACCCAATTGCATGCCCATTTTTCTGTCTCCCTCCCTCCCTCCATCCATCTCTCCCTCCCTACCTACCTACCTACCTACTTACCTCCCCTCTACCTACCTACCTACCCGCGCTGTAAAGTCTCTAGAGTGTCCTGTAGTGTCTAAAATCTATGGGTAAATCCCTGTAAATCTATGGGTCTGGTCTCGCTGTAAATCTATACGCCCCTCCCTCTATAAAAAAACGTCTATCTGTAAAGCTAGGTCTCCCTGTACAGCTGGCGCGCTCTCTCTGTGTTGAGCCAGGTCGCCTTGGAAATCCAAACAAAACAGAACAGATACCCACCGCCTACCGTGGTACCATGTACCAGTCTCGGAAGGATGTCGCGAAGCTTCAACAACTATTACCTTCTGATTGATTCTGTCCAGCTGCCAATTCTGCGTGTCGATCTCGCCGCCCATGTCGATCGCCATGTTGCGTAGATTTCCCAGCATGCCGGCCACCTGTCCGATGTTCTCTTCCATCTCGTCCTCGCGCGCGTCATTTGTTATCCTGCAACAGCGCACTCATGACGTCACACGTCTCACTCATGATGTCACACGTCTCATCCTACACAGCCTATTATTAATCCGCGTTCGTTGATGCACCTGCAGCCTCTCGCTACGCCCCCCCCCCTGGGTGTCAATCATTATCCTGCAACAGCGCACGACTTCTATCATCAATTAACCTGCAGGACGCAGACTAGCAGCTTCACCAACTTACCTGCAAGGGCTCTCGCTAGGTGCGCGATTAATTAACCTGCAACAGTTGCTACCGGTGCCAATCATGATGCTGTGACTAATATTACCTGCAGGTTGCAACACGTTCTACGACAGTTCAATGAGCAATTAATTACCGTGTCCAGGGTTACCCCCAACCTATTAATCTGTTACAGAAAACAAGCCGCATTTTCCAACGTTCTGTGCACGATCCCCCCCCCCCCCAGATATCAACGTCCTACACTAGCAGAAAGTCCCTTACATGTTATTCCCCCTGCATGTTATTCCCCCCTACACTAGCAGCTAGATGGGAAAGAGATGGCAGCCTGGCGACTAACCTTGTCACGTAGCCGCCCGTTGGACCCATGTTGTTCCTGTCGTCGGTGACGCGCGCGGTCGGCTGCGAGGACGACACTTTTCCGTCGTCGTCCTTCTTCCACGTGTTCGCGTACTCCTTGCTCTTCTCGATGTCTTTCGATCTGCCGAACACGCGCGCAGAAGTCACGCATGATTACATCGCCCCGCGTCATCGTCACACAGTGCGCCCCTCCCGCTTTCAACATTGCCGTTTCACTAATGGCGTCGTACACGCAGGTAAACGCAGCTGCATCTGAACGCAAGAATGCGTGCGGATTTCAAGCAGCACTAATGTGATGACACGAACCGATTTGGATCGTGTCAATTTCGGGAAAACGTTGCAGGAGCCGGATTCAGAAGCTCTATGAAGGGAAGGGGGCCATTAAGGGGAAAGAACGAAGGGGGGATTGAATGTAGTATGCAGTATCCCTCCACAGGTTTTTTCTGATGAGAAATATGGTTTTAGCGCAACGGATTTTTGACTATATATCCAGTATTTTAAAGTACTTTGCCTCGTTTTAACTGAGAAAATGTTTCTTTCAAAATTTTCGTAAAATCCCAGCAAATCACAAAGGGTTGGTCCTGACATATTCGCCCCCCCCCCCTTGGTGCTGTCTCTTCCTTTCGTATCGAGTATATATGCACCGACGAAAACTTCACGGTTTCCATTCAATCACCAACATACTGTTCACGCTAACAGCACTGCGGGTAAGCAGGCAATCTGTAAATGTCACTGCGACACTGGATCGGCTTCCTATAAACGACAGCGATGAAATCGTCAGTATTGGCTTGTATTAGAGAGAAAGAGTACTACGCGTATCTGCCGGTAAAATCTGCCGTCGCGACAGTTCAGCTAAATGTCTACGGTGCGCTGCGATTTTTCCACCACGCAGCTTCGTAGAACATTATCAGCAGCGGGTAATGGTGCTTGTATCTACTGAGCCTCACCGTGTCAAGAGGCAGGAGAGCTGGCACATATCCGTGTCGGATGTTGTGAAAACTACTCCTACAGCTACGTCTGAATGACGGCTCTTCAAAGCGGTAGATAAAGCAGCGAAACAACTTACGCGTCGTTGATCCACTGGTTTAAGAAGGTCTTTGTTGGCTAGCTTCAACGCAATTTCCACAGAGTTTCCGAGGAAGGTCGAGGAAAAGCAGCAGCAGAGAGCGACCGAAGCAGCGCGTACGTCATCCGTGTATGGAAAACGACAATAGCACGGCGTGTGCGCGCACACGATGATGCAGCAAAGGCTGTTGTCACCTCGGCAACCACTGCGGGAAAGGGCGAGCTAGACCGTGACCCCACTGCTGTGACATTTACCGTCGACCTCTCTGCTAAGTGCAGCTCTAACCATGCAGTGTCATACATTAGTTAATATAACCCCACCTCCCGCGAAGCCCTGACGACACGCGCTCCCACAACCCCAGGGCTGGTGGATAGTGTCGAACCAGCATCGTGTGACGAGTTCCCCGTTGCTCGGGCGATTTATGACGCCACTATGGATGATAACAACGCTATAACAAACGCATGTCGAATATCCCGTCTACATAGTTTACTGAGAATTAGAAATCGCTGCGGTTGTCAAACACAGGCGCGTGATAGTACATCGCGAGCCGTGGCATTTTCCAGCGCCAGAAGCGGATTCAATTCAGACATGCAATTAAGGTCAACGTCAAAGAAACGACGACGACGTCTAAGCGGTGTGACGGTCTGAATCTCGCTTGCATGAGCTCTGCCTGCAATCGCTGGTCCAACGCCGACGAATAAAAACGAGGGCCGACTGCGGGACTGCATATTAAATGGATTTGCTACGCCGTGCGACGACTGTTTGCCGACTCCCCTCCATTCGCCACAAACAGAGCATGAAGTGCACTGGGCTGCTGCTGCTGCTGCTGCTACTACTGCTGCTGCTGCTGCTGCTGCTGCTGCTGCTGCTGCTGCTAATGCTACTACTGCTGCCGCTGCTGATGCTGCTAATGCTACTACTGCTGCTGCTGCTGCTGCTAATGCTACTACTGCTGCCGCTGCTGATGCTGCTAATGCTACTACTGCTGCCGCTGCTGATGCTGCTAATGCTACTACTACTGCTGCTGCTGCTACTGATGCTCCGTACATCGCAACGATATCCAGCAAATTCATCACCGCAAACGTATTCGATGCAATCCCCAAACTAGAACGCCCTTCTCCGGCGATTTGCATCGCGTGCAGTAACAACAAGAAAGCCTCTCGATGCGGAAAAGCACTTACGCTGCGTGATAAGAAGCCTAAGAGGATCCCTGCATTGAGGCCATCATTGCATTGAGGCCAACATTCTCCACAGATTTCATAATAACCGACGGTGTAAAAACCATGCCACGAGTAGCTCCCCCCACTGGGTTATCTCTTAATATTGCGCCCAATCTTCCATTCTATTATCCAGCTCAGCACGGAGCCTCTGTACTTAATCAGGGCAGCCTTATGTGTGATTTCCTGCTCTCCGTCACGCAAACCGTGCGAGCCAGGCAAAACAAGGCAACGACGAACGAAATTTTCGAAAATTCCGAATTTTTTTTCGTGTAGCATCGACTATTTTCGTCATTAGCACGCGCACGTATACGTAAGAAGATCCATGAGAAGTACACGAGTAATAACACTAGTTCGCCGTCTTCGTCACAGATCCAACGTTCCAGTTGGGATGCATCCAGCGCCACAGTGCGGTCACGGCAAGCAATGAATCAATGAATGGCGGCCTGGGTTTTACTATGCTGCTGCTGGCTGCAGTGTAATTGATGGGAGGCGATAGTGGTGGACTGATGATATATATATATATATTCCTTTTTCTTACCTCGTAATATCTATATATACACCATTTTGCTTATTCCACTTATTTACACAGTACAACAAAACCTCGTCTCTATATACTGCCTGCGGGTTCGAGTTCACAGAACGGCCATTTATGCGTCAAACTGTATCGTGGTGTGATCGCCCGCACAAGCAACAGCTAGCGTGTACATGCACTCTGTGACCACGCCGTGATATGTGCCCATCGACTGAGTACTACCGTGTACGTACATCGTAAACTACTCATTGCTACGCGTGGGTAAAAATAGTGATTTCATTTTGAACACCCGGGTGAAGTTACTATACCAAACGTACACGCGCACGCTCTACGCGCACCTTGTGGGGAAATGGGGTAGATGGTTGGAGGGGGCTGGCTTGAGAAGGACATGCACTCGAGCAGTTTAAATGAACAAGTATTCGGATTTGTACACATTACTGTCTTTGCACAGCCGTACACGCCGGCACACACGCGCGAATGTGTGCGCATGTAACCGCGCCTACGAGTGCGTGCGCTCGCGCGTGTGCGTGCGCGTAAAGATAGTGGACTCGAGCGTGGTCAGAAATAGAATGCTAGCAGAGGAATACAACATAACAAGTGATACCGCAATCGTTGGTCAGCAGATGACATTGCAGCATCTGCATAGTTTACACATCCAGAGACGATAACCTTGGATCTATCCAACACTCGTATACACCTCTACTCGCAAAGCATACAGTAATTACTAAATGAGATACAACAGTGCCGGGATACGGAAATGGAACTACTCGAGAGCCGGCGAGGGTGGGAGAGGAAGGAGTTGGGAACGCGATAGAAGGTTGACGGTTAGTGAGTGACCCCCGCCGAGCCAGTTGTCCTAAGAAAGGGGGAGGAGAGCGAAGAGGAAGGGCAAGGTGCGATGATGATGGGAAAGGAAGCAGTGTGGAGGATGCTGCGATGGATCGGTGGTGTCGCGCTAGTCCTTCCGCAGGATCTCCGCAGCCCGTACGTTCGCCGTCTCGATCCGTGTACCGACCAGCTTCGCCTGCGAAAGAGAAAGATACAGAGATACAGAATCAAGGAGATAGAGAATTGCAGAGTTACAGACTCGGAGAGGTACATAGTTACAGACATAAAGAGATAGAGAGTTATAGAATCACAGACATAGAGGGGTACAGAGTTACAGACATAGAGGGGTACAGAGTTACAGACATAGAGGGGTACAGAGTTACAGACATGGAGAGGTACAGAGTTACAGACATGGAGAGGTATAGAGTTACAGACATGGAAAAGTACATAATGAGACATAGAAAGATAGAGAGTTATAGTATCACAGACATAGAGAGATACAGAGTTACACACATAAATCTAGAGAGATACATAGATAGAAAATCACAGACATAGAGAGATACAAAATCACAGACATAGAGAGATACAAAATTACAGACATAGAGAGGTACAGAGTTACAGACATAGAGAGGTACAGAGTTACAGACATAGAGAGGTACAGAGTTACAGACATAGGGAGGTACAGAGTTACAGACATAGTCTATGTCTGTAACTCTGTACCTCTGAGGTACAGAGTTACAGACATAGAGAGGTACAGAGTTACAGACATGGAGAGGTACAGAGTTACAGACATGGAAAAGTACATAATGAGACATAGAAAGATAGAGAGTTATAGTATCACAGACATAGAGAGATACAGAGTTACACACATAAATCTAGAGAGATACATAGATAGGAAATCACAGACATAGAGAGATACAAAATACAGACATAGAGAGATACAAAATTACAGACATAGAGAGGTACAGAGTTACAGACATAGAGAGGTACAGAGTTACAGACATAGAGAGGTACAGAGTTACAGACATAGAGAGGTACAGAGTTACAGACATAGAGAGGTACAGAGTTACAGACATAGAGAGGTACAGAGTTACAGACATAGAGAGGTACAGAGTTACAGACATAGAGAGGTACAGAGTTACAGACATAGAGAGGTACAGAGTTACAGACATAGAGAGGTACAGAGTTACAGACATAGAGAGGTACATAGTTACAGACATAGAGAGGTACAGAGTTACAGACATAGGGAGGTACAGAGTTACACAATCACAGACATAGAGAGATGCAGACTTGCAGAGGTGCAGCGAGACACGAGACATGAAAGTAAAAGCGACGATGCAGATACAAGACGCAGCATCACTCTACCTGCGGGTAGTCTGCCCACTGTAACTCTACCTGCGGGTAGTCTGCCTACTGTAACTCTACCTGCGGGTAGTCTGCCCACTGTAACTCTACCTGCGGGTAGTCTGCCTACT